TATATATATATATATATATATATTTTTTTTTTTTCCTTTCGGCTGCTCCCTGCATTAGGGGTCGCCACAGCGAACTAAGTCGCACGAAGACTCTGCTGATATTTTTTACGCCGGATGTTCTTGACGCCACCACCGCCTGTGTGTGGAGCAGAGCTGCATCTAGGACACCCGGAGGAGCAGATGGTGGGGGTTAAGGGCCTTGCTCATGGGCTCAGAGTGGGACGAATGAGGGTGGGGGCAGGTGTGGGTGCTTCACCTACCCCACCCACATTTTTGACGTCAGTACCGGGGCTTGAACTGCCGATCTTCCGATCACAGGCCCATCTTCTCTTACCTCTGCGCCACCACTCCCAATCTATATCTATATCTATATATCTATTAATTTTTAGCTGTTCTGCAACTTTTAATTAAAATTTTGCTACATTAAACATTGAGCTACCTGTTAAAATCTTTCAGCCACTATTCTGCTGTTTTACCAATTTTAGTTACTTTTTTCTTAGTTAGTTTTGCTCGTTTTAGCTTTAAACCTCCGTTATGTTCACATATCTGAAGGAAGCGCAGGAGAAGCGATCATCATCCATTTCAGGTTTATTTTACCCACATGTAAGGTACAAAATCACTACAGCGCTGGTCCACAGCCGAGACCACGAGGTCCCAGCAAATGACCCCCAACTACGACAAAAATTACATTTTCTTCAGAGCTTGGCCACACCTCTGCCAGATGTCATCACCACATGTATGCACGTACACACATGGACCCACGCACGCACGTATGTACACATTTAGGTCTATGATCATCACAGCTCATGGAAGTTACTAAATCATGTGACCAGCTCTCAGCCAGTGATCCTCCTCAACTGAAGCTGTGTCCCAGTCCAGCTTCAGGACTGGGACACAGCTTCAGGACTGGGACACAGCTTCAGTTGTTGGTGCAGACATGCAGCTGAGAAACTCTTCCTACTGGAAACAGAACCTGAAAACAAATGGGCCGTCTTCTCTGAACACAAATTACATGATGCTATAAAAACTTTGATACAAATAATCACACAGTTCATTAAGATAATACATGTACTCTGATAAAAATATATCTCATCAAGTTGTCCAGTAATCTTCAGCGGATACTTGGCGCTCACACAATGTACATTTTCTTGTCTTGTTGGTCTCAAACGAGGTTTTGCCTTCATACTTTTCACAACCAGTTGATAAATTTTATTATATTTGAATTTTCAGTTTTAAAACTAGAAGTCTTGAAAACTTAACTGACCCATAATCCTGACATTATGGTAGTAACTTTTTTACTTGTGGAGTGTTAATAAAAAACTAAATGCAAACAGAAAGTAGAGCCCCGACCGATACGTCGGCAGGACCAGTACTTCAGTAAGGCTGACACTTTAGACCTTTGGTCACACGTCGTATCGGTGAGAACTGTCCCATCATGTGTCGATGTACGGAGGGGCACAAATCAAGCGGTCACCCCAAACATCAGCGTCGTGTGTGAAAGCGGTTTGCTCAGGCTGTGTGAGTGAAAGGGCTATAGCTTATTTACTGAGGCAACATTTAAATTAATGTTGGTCTAATAAACCATACATTAAGTCCAATTCATGTAAACAAGTCAAATACAAAATGTCTGGTTTTCAAAATTGCCAAACTAGGCAGATGTTATTTTTTACATGTATATAATCGTCTTGTTTTATTTTTACAGATGTGAAAAGCAGCTCGTGGTCGTATGGTGAGGGACGACCTCACCAAGTTCTGGAGGAACGTAACTTGTGTGGTTCTGTTCTACAGGCGACCATGATTGACTACGACAATATTAGAACAGTTGAGAAGGACTCGTAATTCACCAGTAAAAGGAACGTTATTCGTGTTCTTTTGCAGTTTGCGTGCAAGAACTGTACTCGACAACAAAAGCATTTCAAAAAGGTAAAATATTAACTCAATCTCATCTTTGTAGCAAATGTTAAAACAGGTTTAAAAGCAGCCGTGTACCTTGGGGATGAACAAAGATAAGAAATTTCTTCTTCCCCTCCCAGTGTGGGTAACAGCCTAAATTTCCATATCGGTCGGGCTCTACAAGAAATGTTTATTTTCACCCAAGTGAACACGCTTTGTCAGAAGAAATAAACCAACAAGAAAAGTTCTCTGTCCAGGAAAAAACCTGGTAAAGAAAAAGTCCGTCCAACTAAACGTTTTGATCCAACGCTGGAAACCACACGGCTGTCTCCGTGGGAACCAGTTCAAATCTTCAGGTGTGGTTCTGCACAGGCTGGACCACCGAGTCGCCCGTGGAAGTCTTTGGATTTTCTGCTCCAGTTTCCAACGGGACGCCGGCTTCGCTCTGAGCTGCGAGCGGTTCCGATGCAGCCCGGACCAGTGGTCTTGATCTGGTCTTCCTAGGTGCCAACACAAGAGAGTAGCTGGGTTTGACACGCGGGAGCGCCAGCTTCAGCTTCAGCACCATCTGCGTGCTGTTCAGGTAAGCGTAATCCAGGTGCGGGTTGTTGTTGTTCAGAACCATTTTCTGGTAGAGCATCTCACAGCGAAGCGCCTCCTGTTTCACTCTTCGGGGTTTCCCGTCGAAATTCAGCAGCATCTTGTCCAAGTCCTGCTGGGTCTTACACGGGCCCCCGTTTTGAGTCACCGTAGATACGATGTAGTCCAAATCCATGCTGCCCTCTGGTTCTTCCTCGTGGACTCGTTTATGACCTTTCCTCGACTGAGGGCTGGATTCCTCGTTTTGGGATTTTCTTCTAGCAGATAATTCATAAATACCATCGTCAGAAAGACCAGCCGAGTCTTCATCTTCGTCTTCAGATAGGTTCTTGTTGGAAAACTTGTCGGGTGTTTTCTTATTGTAGGAGTACGAGTGGCCGAAGGGGTACTCTGCCATCAGGACGGAGAACGTGCAGCTCGCCAGCTGCAGGCACACATCTGTGGGGGGGATTTTGGAAAAGACTCCTCCAGGCAGAAAGTCCTTCAGGTGGTCCTCAGTGACGGCAGCGATCACCTTTATGGACCTTTTCAGACATGCCCGGATCAGGTCCCGGTTCGTGTGCCACTGGCCACAGAAATGAAAAACTCCATCAAAAGTTTTCTCCTGCAGAGGGAACTGCATGAAAACATTCATAGACTCCTCGGGTTCCAGCAGAGTTGAGGGATCTTTGGACCAATCGAGGAACTTCTGGTAGAGGCAGAGCAGGTACTGGTTGAAAAGCGAGTACTCCCCTCCGCTCTTGAGAAGCTGCCAGTACGGGCCGATGACTTTGCAGTAAATGATGGCCACGACGCACACGAAGCTCTGAACCATGCAGTCGGTTGCGTCAGCTGTGACGCTCTCCAGGATCACGTTTGGACACACATCGTTGGTCATCGCCAGGAGGTCCGAGAAAAAGAGCCCAATCTCTTTGTGGTGGTGAATGAGACCTGCTGCGGCTTCAAAGTAGTTGTTGAACCTGTTGGACTGGTTCACCGTCAGTTTGGACGGGTTCCCCTTCTCCTCGCAGAACGCCATCCAGTGTTTCCGGTAGTTCGGTTTATCGGGGCTGCGGGGGCTCAGGATGTCGCATGCCATGTGGATGTAACGGCACGTGGCGCTCTCTGGCAAACTAACAAAGTTCTTGAAATTTGGAAGATTGTCTCGGCCCAGCTTCTCTCCGGTGGACAGAATGATGTCCTTCTCAAAGCTCATGATCTGCTGCTCGACTGCGTCATGAAGGTCCACAAGGAAATTAGCGTTGTAGTTTAAAAACACGACAGGAGACACGATGTGGGCCTGCTCCTGCACCATGTTGATCTTCTTCTCAAACTCCTTCATGGCCGGGTGCTCCTTGTACGTCAGAGTGTAGTGGTTTTTAAGCAGATCTAAGGAGACCTGCTTGCATGCTTCGGATTTCCCTCCGTAAACGCTTGAGAGCTTTTGGACGGACAGCATTGCGATGTCCAGCAGCGCCAGAGGTTCTCCATTGTTGGCCAAACTGTCTTCTCTGCAGCTTAATGCGTTCTCGCTCTCGTCGTTACAGTCAACGCGCTTCCTCTGCAGCACACTTCCTAAAAGCTCCCGGTCCACCTCCGACCCCTCCGCCTGAGAGATCTCACAACCCTCGCTTTCCTCTTTGATCGTCGCCCTCTCATAATCGTCTCTTTTTACGCGCTTCTTCATCAGCAGCTTCGGCTCTTTCTTTCGAACCAATTCGAACGGACTCCGGAGTAGATTTTCAATCGCCGCGATCCTTCTGTGGCTTCTTGTTTCGTAATTGCTGCAGTGAATTTTTAGCTTCTTTATCTTGGCCTTGAGGTTCTTGTACGCCTTCTGAATGTCCCCGTTCTTACAGAACTCTGGGTTAAAGTTCCTCAGCCAGGTGACGATGACGACGGGGGAGATGTTCTCCCTGGAGGCAAAATTGCTCAGCTCCAGAATTAGTCCATTGGTGACTTCGACAAGCTGCGCCCGTTCAGAAAAATCCCTCAGCTCCAGAAGATGTTGCCGCTCAACTCCGATGCTGTCGCAGATCGGGCCGACGAAGCTGAAGTTGACCCGCGACTCCAGAAAGGCCAGCCTCGCATCGACACCCAGACTCAGCGTCGCTGCAATGCCCCGTTCGATCAAGCGGCGGAAGTCAGCCGACTGGTGGCTGGGGAAAATTCTCTTCAGCCACGCAATGATGGCGACCCAGGGGAAGTTATTGTCTTCTCTCAGAAGCCCAACTTGGATCATAAGTCTGTTCCTGCAGTTTGCCTGATCCAGATCCAGTCCCTCTCCCGTCTGAGGGCCGATAAAATCTGCAACAAGTTTCCAGTAGTACTCATCTCCTGAAAAAAATAAAAAATAAAAAAGGTTGGAGAGAAATTAGAAAAATACTGTTCGACAAGGACGGACATAATCTAAGACATGGCAACTTCAACAAGTTACAAAAAACAGAATCTGGACTTCTAAACATTTTGCTTCTCGTCTGAGAAGAGAAACGGTCCACCACAGAATCAAGTCCAGCTGGTTTGGTTTTTTGGACGAGGGAGGATGTAGGTATGAGATGTTCAGGTGCACCATCAGTATTTTTAATGTTCATCAGATGTTGCACTTCCAGTTTTAAACTCGGGCCATCTTGTGTTAAGAAAATGAGACGATGTGGTCAAACCTTAAAAATGAACGTTAAGCCTCGTCGTCTCAGAGCAAACTCAGTACTGGTATTTGTTGATCTCCATCAAGTCAACAGTGTTCAGTCGGGTCATCTGGACGGTTTCTTTTTTTGTGC